AAGGGCAGTTGACCGGGTCAAGTAAAAAACACTGGAAAGATTGCAATATCCATAAAGCCACCATGATTCGACCATGTCCATCCACATATTTGATGAGATTTGCTAATAAACATTGAAAATATTCTATGTTGTGTCAGAAATATTGGCCTATTCATGTCTTCTAAACTAGCAAAAACTAATATAATAATGTATTTCATTATATAAAAATGATTACGCTCCTCAAATAAATCTACACAAAATAATCATTTGGGATACATTTTTTTTATAGGTATTCTGTATGGCCGAATCAAATGTGATTAGTGCCGTGCACTTTTACTTAGCTTGGACTTTTATTGGTCAAATGGTCCACCTAATCAAGTGATGATGTGGCATAATTTTGTGTGTGTGTGTCTATATATATACTTTTTTGAGAGAGTATAGCATGTTTCTTATTTTAACATCTAAGAACCATCAAACAAACTCAACATTGCAAGAAAATTGAGACTTTAAATTGTGAGGGTACTGATTGAAGATAAGTAAATTGCAAATAAGATAACGAACTTAATCTCAAAAGTTTAAGGTCAACTCAAAACAAATCCAACAGCATCTTCAACAAAAATATTTAGTAAAAGAATCAATAAAAGCTAGCACCATAAAAGATATGGTCGATAATGATGATGACAACTTTTTGGACATGGTGATAAAAAGCATTGACTTGATCAGTTTCAAAAAAGTCAACAACCAAAACAAAATTTGTTATCCAAGAGTGAACTTTAATCATTACCGGTTAGTGATCTCTCTTCCTGACACCTAGCAAAGTCCCAAACCTTCACAGTAGTATCATCCGAGCAGGAACAGAACTTTAAATCTGTTCTAGAAAAACTGCAGATTGAAAAACAAAATAACTATAATTGGTCATAAGTACCTTAAAAACATATACACAAGTAAAAAATAACAGATATGCACCTTAAATCACGAACTGATTCTTTATGTGCAGATTTGTTTAACTTCACATTGTTCATATTGTTTTGCCAATACCTGCGTACGATTAGATGAATACAGGGTCTTATAAATTTAGATGAATTCAAAGGGTGATAACGCAAAACTCTAACTATAATCAGTTATATAAGGAATTAATGGTACTTGATTGATCCCCCATCATCGCCAGTAACCATCCAATTTTCATTGTGGCTCCACACCATTGATTTAATTGCATTATCATGAGCCTGAAAATTCACAGGAACAAAAAAGAATGAATTCCAATATATTCTATCCAAATTCAAGTGAGTTTCAATATTTTACCTGAAGGATCATTTCAAAATTAAAAGATTGCCCATTCCAAAGTGTGAATTCACCACTCTGCGAACCTGTAATAAGACGCCGTCCTGTAGGAGTCCACTGCACTCGATTTGAATTGCATAAGAATCCAATTAGAATGCGTCAGTATTCGACAAAAATCCCTAGAGTACAATGACTGAAAAAAGAGACCAATCTGTAGACTGGTTTTAGGAAACTTCACTACGTGAGGAAAAAAAAGTAAGCATGCACAAAGCAACTTAAACCTTCAAGATATTGGAATATTCTATTAAACAAACATGAATACACGGTTATCTCATATGATAGATGATCTAAATATGCATGACTAAACCTTCAATAATCTATCTATATGCATGAACTTAAAGAAAATAAAAAAATTCCACATCAACGGGAGGAAGGTAAATCAGAAACTTGGCAATAAGGGGAATAAATAAAAAAATATAATTTCTTGGCAAATATGATTACTATAATTTGAATAACATACCAAGACTTTATTGATAGAACATCTATTCTTGTTGGTAGAGGCATGGACAAATTTAGCAGCAAAACTTGTGGACGGATTATCAGCACAAGCAACAGTTGGTAACATCTGCATTATTATCAAACTTCAGATGATATAAAATATATTATCAAGATTCAAAAAATAGAAAATATGAAAAATGCATTTTGAACATGTGCAACAAAGGATTATAATGAAAACTCCTTCGACAATGTAATTATAAAAAAAAATTCTGAAAAATCTATAAAATACTAACGTCTACAGCCGCAGCAGAAGTAGGTTGCAGCAATGTCCTGTCTCTAGCATCTCGCTGCCAAGTACGAACCTGAATAAAGTGATGAACAAAATGAGTTAGTGCCTTTGTTTCCTTTGTTGATTTATCCTAGAAAATATGATAATAAGCAAAACTTTAAAAAAAAAGATGCACATGGAACCCTTTGACTTTACAACATTGCTGGTATATTATCATATATAGCAGGAAATTAATTGAAATACAACACAAAATGAATATCACATGCATTAAATTTTAAGGCAACTTAGATGTTTAGTAGCTTCTTATATGGTTCATGAAATGTAAAAGCAAATTACTACACCCCATAGAATCTACAAGTCATATTCTTCAAGTTAACTAGCTCGTGAGGGTGAATTAAAATGTGCAGATGGGCTTTTGATTGAGGTTTATGCCTTCCAAATATAAGAAAAAAATGTACTGAGAAAGATTAGTCCTACAAAGGAAATTGAGAGCCATGTTGTAGGAATCTCAAGAATATGAAAATCCCATGAGGAAGTAGAATGAAGTTAGCAAAACTGTGATCAATAAAAGAATACAAAGCTACATTTATTAACATCTTAACTACGAGAAATGATTCATCGAAACAACTACAATGTCAAAAAGCCCACCGGGTGTCCAAATGCAATGTATATATCAACAAACTACGAAAAAAAAAACATTAAAATTTGGAGGCCAGCAAGCAAATTTAAGAACGAAATTTATATAACTGCAGCTCAAGTCTGAAGGAAAAAAATGTTAAGTTAGGTAGGTGCAATCATTTCAACTAGTCCGTTTGGCATTTTGGATTTGTTTGACAGGTTCAACCAACTTGGCTTGGCTTGTTTAGGCTAAAAATCAACTATTAGGTTGACTGATTGAATTGGTCTTTAAAGCAAAAATGAGGTAGAAATATAAGAATAGGTGGATAAAAAAATAATAGAGCACATCCTCAATTAATGTGTTAGAAAGAGTGAGTGTGCATACCAGAAGTATTAAAAATAAAGAGAAATGAGCAACGAATGTGCACAAATGTGCTACTAATAGATATGGAAACAATTAGTTCGAAATAAAGTTTGATAGAGTATTGCAAGTTATTTAGGTATTATTCTTCCACAGGGCATACGTTTTGAGCCTAATTTTGAAGGAAGTGTCTGATTTATGGCCATTAGCGTGAAAAGTTATAAATTTAAATAGGCTTGGTGGAAAAAGTACAATTTTATTCAAGCTTGTTTGAAAGGTAGATAAAGAAAGGAGTTAAAGGAGTTTGGCGGATTCAATATGGGGCCAACAGTACTTTTTATCAGTTAAGGAATTCACCTAAAAATAATAATGGTTGCATCGCAAATTTAAAAGAAAATTAATGATGAAGATGAAGAACACATGCCATAAAGTACCTTATCTCTAAAGGATATCATATAAGAGTAAGAAAAATCAATTGTCATAGATTTATCAAGATCTCATTCATGCAAGAGGCCAACTCCTTAGCCAATTGATGTATGGTAAAATAATAGAGGTTGTAGAGCAAATTTATCAGTTCAGGAATTCACCTAAAAACAATAGGAATGAATAACAAATCTAAAAGAAAAGTTAAGGAAAAAGTAGAACAACACGTGACATAAAGTGCCTTATCTCTAAATGATATAATATAAATGTGTAAAAAGTAATTGGTATTTTTTCATTAAGAAATCTTTGATGCAAGGAGCCACCGCTTTCGCCATTTGATGTATTGCATGGTAGTGTAGTTAAAGAGCGTTTGCTTTGTCGAACCATTTATAAATGAGGAGACATCGCATAACACAACACATGAAATAGGTTCAAATCTAATCACTCAACAGATGTAATGGTGTCAAATTATTAAGGAGATGAAAGGATATTAATTCACTAACCATCCAAAGCATTACCAAAAACAGCATAGATATTCATGCAAGTATAAAAACTCCAAATTCGTTAATTTTCACTATTTACAATAGTATACCTCAATTCTAATGACAATGCTTCCTCAGGGGAAAAATTACTAAAATCATCCTAAATGGAAAAGACATGTCCTCCATGACGTTTTTCAGTGACCCAAACAAGGATAAATTAACATAAATAAAGAAAAAACAAGCACTCA